CCTCTTCGTTGAGCTGCAACAATGCTAACACCATCAGATAGAACACTTCGTTTATCTACCTTCACTCTTGTACCTTCAGTTACAATTAAAATAAAAAAAAAAAATAGCACTTAATACACTAAACAATTCAGAAAAACATATTGGAAAACAAAGAAAGGTGGGATGCACAGCATCCCAAAATACTCTATTTTTAGCCAAAAAAAATATATTAAAAGAGAAATTATGTTAAAAATAAAAGAGATAAAGCTAAGTGATACTAACAGTTATATATCCGTCGTCTCCAAAATGTTAACTGATTTCCTCTAACGAATGGTGGTGGTGTTTGAGCAAGAGTTAAAATGATCGGAGCGGTATCCCTCTTAAAGATTGTATATATTGCAAACTTTGGAAAGTGATAAAGGAGATGAAGTGCAATATCTGATACATGTCAAATTAAGTTAATTTGTTAGAGAAAAATTACATAACAAAATTATAGAAAGAGAAGATGAATGCTAGAGCTCTTACCAAAAATTTTCTTAGTTATACACTCTTCGAGGAGGAAGAAGCCATAGTCTTCCTTTAGACATTCTTGCGGCAGAGTATTAAGATAGAGGTAGCGAGTCATGTCCTCATGGCCTGCCCTGCACGCCAATTGAACCGGAAGCATATTGTCGCAATCTGGGATAGTAAGCAAGTCCTTGTTCTTTTCAATCAAGCGTTTTGCAATTTCCATCATACCACTACGAGCAGCATAGTAAAGAGCTGTGTTACCACTCTCATCTTTTATCCCCAATTGGTGACTGTTTGCTGAACTAGTCCATGTGATCAATTCCTTAGCAAACCTTAGCTGACCAGAAGTAATTGCAACGTGAAGAGCAGTTTGCCCATTTTCAAATGTTGTAGATAATGCATCTGGATTCCTTTCAAAGAGGTCTCTTACTCTCCCAAACTCCCCTTTGTAAATAGCGTTACGCACGGCAATTGCAAAATGCTTCCTTCCAAGATTCTTTGGATCTGGCAAGCCAATAATTGTCGTAATAAGGCAATAGCGTGTGTAAGGTGTAAACTAGCTAGTTCCACTTGTGTGTTGGAGGAATCCGTGTGTAGTTTACACATTGCATAATATATTTATTAAAAAATTATTATTTTTAATTTAAAATTAATAACAGATAAATTTAAAAATACAGTTATACATATAAGATATAAAAATTGATTGATTTGATTGTCTTATATTATATTTTAAGATACTAATTGA